AAAATTACCTAGGGGCCAGCTCTGTGGCCTGTTGGTTAACGGAGCCAGATCCAATGTGGCCATTTGCGTTTGAATCCTGGCCCCAGTGGCTGGAAAACCAGGCCAGGCACATGGTACGTGTACACAAAGTCCTGACAGCATGGCAAGACGGAGAAGGGACTGTGGAGTGACCGCGCCCTCGGGGTAGATGCTTTCTCCCTCTCCCTCTGTCTCTCTGGCAAGAGCCTGTGCCCTCTGGCAAAATTTTAATAACTAAATAATTTGTTATTGAAGATTGCTGAACTGAAGAACACAGCGGATGCTCTCCCTCTTTCCCAGTCTGCCTAAAGGCAGGACATAGATTTTCCTTAATGGGGACAGCTTGCTTGTCAGCCCGGAGGAGGCACCAGTGAAAGCTGGAAGAATCTGGGAGCACATATTCCTGCCTCCGCTTTCCCATCGTGTGAGCCCGGGACTACGTGGTCCTGTCTCGTCACTGCGAATGCACCGCTCTTTGTTGGAGGTGCTACGGGAGCAGGGCTCTAAGCCCGCATTTTGAGATATGCTTTGGAATTAAGGTGTCCTCACTCCGTGGGCACAAAACACATTAAAATGAACTTTTGGAGTCAGCTCTTGGATTAAGAGAACTAGATTCCATGTGGCTGATCTGGATTCCAGGTGCTGGATCTGGCAGCTTGAAAACATTGGGGAGACCAGCAGTTAGTGTAACGGCTATGTTGCTGGACTCCTATGTAGTCAACCACGGTTCGAGTCCCGGACCCGGTGGCTTAAACTCACGCCAGGCGCATGTGTGTGCATGCCCAAGATCCCGAGAGGAGAAAGGAGAAGAGATTGCAGTGTGGCCATCCCCCCTGGGGGGGTGATTTCTCACTTTCTATCTCTCTGTCTCTTGTCTCTTTCTGGCACGCACACATGCCCTATAGCAAAAACCTCTCCAAAAACAAAAACAAAAATTTGCTATAGGGCTCATGTCTCGCCATAGACAGGAAAAAAGCATCCACCCCAACGAGGACAGCTACACTGCAATTTCTCCTTCTTCTTTCTCCTCTTGGGATTTTGGGCATGCATGCATATGCACCCAGCATGTTTTTCTTTGTTAAAATTATTCATTTTGTTATGATTATTTCTTTTTAAAATTTGACCAGAGAAACAGAGAAATGAAAAGTGAGAAAGCAAGCCGCCAGGTCCAGGCCTCGAATCATGGTTGACCACGTGGGAGTCCAGTACCTTAACCACCACGACACCTGCCAGTCCCCTCCCCCCCCCACTCTTTTTTAGAGATTTTTTCTATATCCCCCCCCCCACTATTTTTAAGAGATTTTTGCTATAGGGCATGTGTGCTCGCTGGAGAAACAGAGAGAGACAGAGAGACAGAAAGCAAGAAGTCATCCCCGAGGGGGTATGGCCACGCCACAGTCCCTTTTTATTCTCCTCTCCGGATTTTGGGCACATGCACACATACGTCCAGAGTGTTTCAAGCCTCCACATCTGAGACTCAAATCGTGGTCAGCTATGTGAGTCCAGCGACATAACCATTACGCCATCTGTTGGTTCCCCCGGCATGTTTTTCAAGTCAAGGACTACCAACTGCACAGCTGAATATGAGGAATCCAGCCACCTTAATTACCACACCACTAGCTAACTCTGAAGACAGAAATTTTTATAATAAACACTACTGTCTCTTTTTACCCCAGTCAACTTTCTTGTTACAAAGCGAGTTCTGTTTTTTGTTTTTTTTTTTAAGAATTACTTATTTAATTCCATTTGTTATTATTATTTTTTTAATTTGACCAGATAGAGACAGAGAGAGAGAAAGGGAAAGCAAAAAGGCAAGCTGACAGGTCTAGGACTAGACCTGCAGTCGGCCATATAGGAATACAGTGCCTTTAATCACCATGCCAGCTGCCAGCTCCCACAGGGAGGTTTTAAGTGGCTATTAAAGATCAAGCCACTTACAAACGTGGGCTATTTTTTTTGGGGGGGGGGCAAGCTTTTGCTACAAGGCGTATACCCTCGCCAGAAAGAGAGACAGAAAGTGAGAAACCACCCCCCAGGGAGGATGGTCATGCCACAATCCCTTCTCCACTCTCCTCCTGGGATCTTGGGCATGCACACACACGCACCCAGCATGAGTTTAAACCACCAGGTCCAGGACTCAAACTGCGGTCGACTACATGGGAGTCCAGTGACATAGCCATTACGCTAACTGCTGGTCCCAACAAATGTGGCCTATGTTTTAAACCCTAGATTTCTGACCCAGGATATTGTGCAGTAGGGTTTACTCAGCATGCTTGACTTGTCCAAATCCTGTAAATTCCAAAGATATTAAGGGCTGGCCCTTGACTGGCTCCTGGGAGATATCTTTTTTAAATTTTTTTTTGAGAGGTTTTTGCTATAGGGCATGTGTGCTTGCCAGAAAGACAGAGCGAGACAGAGAGACAGAAAGTGAGAAATCACCCCCCCCCAGGGGGAATGGCCACACTGCAATCCCTTCTCCTCCATTCTCCTCGTGGGATCTTGGGCATCCACACACATGCGCCCAGCATGAGTTTAAGCCACTGGGTCCGGGACTCGAACCATGGTCGACTACATGGGAGTCCAGCAACATAGCCATTATGCTAACTGCTAGTCCTCCTGGGAGATATCTTCTAAGCCCTTGGAAATCCCTGCCTGATAAAGCTGGCTTTATATGCCTGAGGTCTTGGGTGACACAAGACTGCTTATGCTAACAGTGTGACTTATGTGAATACCTGTTTTTATACACCTGGGACCTTGGTACCACAGCAAGGTAATATCACAAATTGGAAAAAAAAAAGTAAAAAAGAAAAAAAACCTGTTAGAGAATTTGTGCAGGAAACATTTAAAATAGTTGCTGTTCATCCATTATCAAATAATAGTACCTGGAAAATTAGTATGATATAGATAATGATGTATATTAAATATCTACTTGATGGTATTTAACTTCGATTTGAACATCCCGACCTTTTTTTTTTTTTATTTAGGGTTTTTACCATAGGGTATATGTGCTTGCCAGAGAAAGACAGAAGGAAAGTGAAAAATCACCCCTTAGAGGGTATGGCCATACCACAATCCCTTCTCCTACATTCTCCTCTCAGAATCTAGGGCATACACACACACACACACACACACACACACACACACACATGATTTTCAAGCCCCCTGGTCTGCTTGAATCACAGCTGGCCATGTGGGAGTCCAGCACCTTAGCAACCACGCCACCTGCTGGCCCCTGGGCATCTTGAATTTTGAAGAGTTTTTTTTTTTTTTTTAAAGAATTTATTAATTTGGGACCAGCAGTTAGCGTAATGGCTATGTCGCTGGACTCCCATGTAATTGACCGCAGTTCGAGTCCCGGACCCGGTAGCTTAAACTCACGCTGGGCGCATGTGCGTGCGTGCCCAGGATCCCGAGAGGAGAATGGAGGAGAAGGGACTGCGGTGTGACCATCCCCTCTGGGGGGGGTGATTTCTCACTTTCTGTCTCGTTCTCTGTCTTTCTGGCGAGCGCACACGCCCTATAGTAAAAACCTCTTAAAAATTAAAAAAAAAAAAAAAAAAACGAATTTATTAATTTAATTCCATTTGTTATTATTATTGTTTACCTTGGCCAGAAAGAGTCAGGGAGACAGAGAAAAAGGGAAAGCAGAGAAGCAAGCCGCCAGGTCTGGGACTTGAACCATGGTCAGTTATGCGGGAATTCACAGCCTTAACCACCATGCCACCTGCCAGCCCATTGGTATGTTTTTAAAAATCCACAGTAAATACTTACATTTCTGAATAGGTTAAAATAAATTTTTATTAAATGTTTGAAGAGCTTTATATATAATTCAAAAATTCTTTACAAAGTAGTTGCCAATCCTTGTCCAATTTTTAATAGCTTCTATACAGATTTGGGAATTTGCTGTGAAACAGGGTTTACAAACTATTTCTTTTACAAAGCATCATGATGCTAATTTTTGCCGAAACAGTGTTTAAAACTGAAGTCTCTGTATGGAAGTGAACTCTCTTAAACACACTATTCTTTATCCCAGTGACAAAATCATGGAAAAATGAACATAAAACTAAGGAAACACTGAATAAGTATTCTGTAAACTTTTCAAATTCACCTAAATTTTTATTACTTTCAGAAGCAGTGCCATTAACAACCACATTATATACTCAAAGTGTTAATCAAATTAACAGGTAAAGAATAAAAATATTGTTGCAAAGAAGCACCCTTTGTTGTAAGTATGTTAAAGAAGTCTCACTACCCTGAAAGGCCTACCATGGGTCATGGACCCTACAGTCTCTTCACACGGAACAACTGAACCATTTTAGAACCCAGTACTCTGATCTCCTTAGCAGTGCTGCTGGTATTAAAACAAGATTTGGTTTTTGTCTGAGAGTACACCCTTGTAACGTGTCATTTGAATCTTCTGTTCAAATGCACACTTCTTTTCCAAACTGATGACTGCCCAGTTGATGTTCCCAGAGAAGAGAATCCCAGCTACCTGAAACGGATATGGCTCAACAAAGAAGAAAACAGTGATCAATGTACCTCGAAGATGCGAAGTAACCTGGGCCAGCCGGTGACGTGGCGGTTAAGGTGGCTGGGTCCCACATTGCTGACTGCATGGTTTGAGTCCTGGACCCGGAGGTCTGAGAAATAGACCAGGCATGTGTGAGTGAGTGCCCAATGTTCCAAAAAGAAGGGGAAATGAAGAGAGAGTGTGGCGTGGCCATCCACCATGGGGGATGCTTTCTCACTTTCTCCCCACCTGCCCGTCTCTCCCCAGTGAGTGTACACATTCTCTGACAAGCTTAAAAAAAAAAAAAAAAAAGATAGGAAGTAAAGATCAACATGGAAGTATTTGAAATCATAAGAAATTTTAAAATCTGATGTTTAGAAATGTCTCCCCTGAGCTATGGATGCTTTTCACATACAGTCTCTAGTAACACAGACGCATTTCGTCATTCCAAACGTACTTAAAAATCTACGAGTGTTGGTGCTGAGAACAGATTGGCTGCATCTCGCACAGCATGAGTGGTAACAGTGGCATGTTTTGTGGGAATCTTTGGCCAGACGCAGTCCTGCAGTAGCTTCCTTCGTCGCGTCCCTCCTCTTAATATGCCTAAAATCTTCAAGTTATTTTCAGAGGAGAAATCACAAGCCCATAATGTAGGACAAGGAGACCATCCTGAAAAGGGAGGAGAACAAATTAACAAAAAGGCTATTCTACAGTTTTTTAAAACAAGGTATATTAATAATTAAGCCAAAGCTTATTTTTCGTAATTTTATGTAATGTGAGCTCTTTGATTGAAAGAGATTAAAAGGTCCTTCTTATTCACTCACCTCATCACCAGATATTTCTTGTCAATGTGCCTTTTTAATGGTTCCTGGGAGCCAATTCCAAAGCTATCATGTATCCATAATTAGCCAGGGTTATCTATGACTAAACAATTTTCCGAAAGATCTAAAGATTCTCCATAGACTACTTAATGGTATACCTAAGCATGGGCTCCCTTAACAGGAGACTTGACCATAATAAAGCATGAATAAAGCGCTGGAACACTAGCCAGAAGAGGACTCGTTGGGAAGTATACATGCACCTGCTCTGAGTGACACAGAAAAAGTGCGGTGGGACAGGCGTCCTGGACTTCTACTCTGACTATGAACTGCTATCTTTATCTGTCTGTCTGTCTGTCTATCTATCTATCTATCTATCTATCTATCTATTTCAATTCAATTCAATTTTTTTAAGAGAGATTTTTGCTATAGGGTGTGTGCACTTGCTGGAGAGACAGAGGCGGAAAGAAAGTGAGAAATCACCCCCAGGGAGGATGACCACACTGCAATCCCTTCTTCAGTCTCCTCTCGGGATCTTGGGCACACACACACACGTGTCCAGAGTGAGTTCTAAGCTGCCAGGTCTGGGACTTCAACCATGGTCAGCTATGTGGGAGTCCAGTGATATAACCATTATGACATTTGCTGTTCCCTCTTACTATCTTTTTTTTTTTTTTTCTGATTTATTTATATTTCATGCTTCTTCAAGTTCAGTTTGGAAATAGGAAGAAACAAAAACATGGCTAAATCCTATCCCTTCTTTTAAAATCTGACGTAAAATATAAGTTAACAATGATGGTCATTAAAAAAAAATAATAAGAGCCCCAGGGGTCAGCAGGTGGCATGGTGGTTAAGGCGCTGGACACTCCCATGTGGCCAACCACAGCTCGAGTCCTGGACCTGGTGACTTACTTTCTCACTTTCTCTTTCTCTCTCTGTCTTCCTCTGGTCAAATTAAAATAAATGAATGAATAAATAAAATTATACAAAATAATTCTTTAAAAAAAAAAACAATAAACAAGAACCCCAAATAAATAAAGCAGATATCACTAGACCTAAAGAGAGAAACTCTAATACAGTAATAGTTAGAGGCTTCAACACCCAACTCTCAGCACTGGACAGCTAGACAGAAAATCAAAAAAAACCATTCCATTTAAATTGTACTATGGGGGGCCGGCAGATGGCATCATGGTTAAGGTGGTGTGGTATTGGGCCATTGGACATTCCAGACCTGGTGGCTTGTTTTCTCTTTCCACATGTTTTTCTATCCAGCCATCCATTCTTGGTCACATAGGGCAATTCCATGTCTTAGCAATTGTGAAGAATGCTACATAAACATGGATGTACAAGTGTGTTTCCTACTATTTTCCTGTCCTTTGGGCAAATACCAATGTCTTTCGGATAAATACCAAGGAGTGGTACTGGTAGCTCTTTTTGTAAGTTTCTGAGAAACTCCGTATTATTTTCTACAGTAATAATTTACACTCCCACCAACAGTGTAGGATGATTCCCATTTGTTGATTTTTTTAAAAAGAATTATTTTATTTAACTTTATTATTATCATCATTATTATTTTCCAGTTTGATCAGAGAGAGACAGAGAGAGACAGAGAGAGAGAGAGAGAGAGGAAGTGAGAAAGCAAGCCACCAGGTCCGAGACTTAAACTGTGGTCGGCCATGTGGGAGTCCAGCGCCTTTAACCACCATGCCACTTGCCAGCCCCATTTTTTTTTCCTTCGTCGCGTCACCACATCGATCGGCCATTTGTTGACTTTCTTTACTTTTATTATTTAAGAGGTTTGTTTTTTATTTTGCCTTAGGGTGTGTGTGTTTGCCAGAGACAGAGACAGTGTGGCCACACTGCAACCCCTTCTTTTCCATTCTCCTCCTGGGATCTTGGACATACATGCACAAACCTGGGATGAATTTTTTTTTTTTTTTGGGGGGGTTTTTGCTTATAGGGCATGTGCACTCGCCAGACAGATAGAGAGAGACAGAGAGATAGAAAGTGAGAAATCACCCCCCCAGGGGGGATGGCCACGCTGCAATCCCTTCTCCTCCATTCTCTTCTTGGGATCTTGGGCACGCACGCACATGCGCCTGGCGTGAGTTCAAGCCACCGGGTCTCCGGGACTTGAACCGTGGTCGAGTACGTGGGAGTCCAGTGACATAGCCAATCCGCTAACTGCTGGTCCCAACCTGGGGTGAATTTTAAGCCACTGGGTTCGGGACTCGAACCATGGTTTGCTATGTGGAAAGCCCATGATGTAACTGCTACACCATCTGCTGGCCTGGAGGCTTCCCATTTAAATGGGAAGAGAAATCCCGTCTCCATTAGCAATCGCTTGCTATTTATCCCCAACTCCTCAGCCTTGTTAGCCACTTCCATGGTCTCTCTGCAGCTTTTGTCTATTCAGGTCAGTGTGCATAAATGAGAACCCTCCTAAACTGCGGGTGGGAATGTAAATTTACATTCCCTTGCCAGCATTCGCCATTCAACGTATTTTTTTTTTTACTATCATAGCAATTCTGACTGGGGTTAACTATATGTCACTTAAAACATCATATCTATGCACATTATAAGGATAGCTCATATGGTTTTGATTTGCATTCACCTTATAAGAGAGGAACATATTTTTTTCAAATGCTTATTCATCATTCATATGTCTTCCTTAGAGAGTTATCTGTTTAGCTCATTTGCCATTTTCAGTTAGATTTTTCTTTTCTTTCCTTTTTCGTTTTTTGCAGGTGAGCTGTTTAGTTCCCTGTATTTTCTGGTCAATCTCTTATCAGAAGCACAGTTTGCAAATATTTTCTCTAATTCTGTAGACTCTCTTCACTCATTTCCTTTGCTGTGCAGAAGCTCTTTAGCTTGATGTAATCTCACTTGCCTGGCTTTGGAACTGTTGCCTGGGCTTGAGGGATCTTACTTAAGAAATCTTTTCCGGGGCTGGCAGGTGGCGTGGGGGTTAAGGGCACTGGACTCCCACATGACTTACTGAGGTTCAAGTCCTGGACCTAGTGGCTTGTTTTCTCACTCACTCTCTCTCTGTCCCTCTCTGGTTTCCCTTGAATAAATAGATGGATAAATAAATAACGTTAAAATAATTTTTTTAAAAAGGAAATCTTTGCCTACTCCAGTGTCTTCCAGTGTTTCCCTTGTGTTTTAGACCAGCAGGTTTTGTTTTGTCCTTTCTAAATTTGTCATAGGGCATGTGCACTTACTGGAGATAGAGAGGGGAGAGAGAGAAAGAAGAAGAAAAGCACCCCTCAGGGGATGGCCACTGGGCAATCCTTTCTCCTCCATTCTCCCCTCAGGATCCTAGACATGACGCACACATGCCTGGCATGTTCCCCAAGCTACTGGGTCCAGGACTCAAACTGCACAGTTGGCCATTTGGGACCCAGCCACTATGCCACCTGCTGGCCCTCTGTCAGTAGGTTTATAGTTTGAGGCTTTACATTTAGATCTTTGATCAATTTTGGGACCAGCAGGTGGTGTGGTGGTTAAGGGCGCTGGACTCCCAAATGTTTGACTGCAGTTCAAGTCCTGGACCTGGCTTGCTTTCTCACTTTTCCTCTCCCTCCCTCTGTCCCTCTCTGGTCAAATTAAAAAGAAATAAAGTTAAATAAAAATAATTATTAAAAAAAAGATCTTTGATTGATTTTTCTTAATGGTGAGAGATAGGAATACAGTTTTGTTTTTCTCTAGGGGGATATCCAGTTCCTCCAGCACCATTTACCGAAAATACTTTCTTTTTTCCACTGGATTGTCTTGTGTCCTTTTTGTCAAAAATCAGTTGTCTGGGACCAGGAGGTGGCATGGTGGTTAAGGTGCTGGATTCCCAAATATCTGAACACACTTTGAGTCCTGGACCTGGTGGCTTGAAAAATCATGCCAGGTGTGTGTGCTTGTGTCCCAGAATCCTGAGAGGAGAACAGAGAAGGGATTGTGCCATATTTCGAGGCTGGGTAATGAGATGCTACCTACTTTGTTCTTTTTGCAGTGTTGCCTTGGCGATACAGTCTTTTATGATTCCAGACAAATTTCACGATTGTTTTCTATTCCTGTGAAGACCGTCACTGGTAATTTGGTCAGAATCATATTGAATTTGTAAATGAATTTGTGTAGAAATTTGATTATAGTGATTCCTCCAATCCAAGAACAAAGAATGTCTTTCCAGTTTTTTTGTATCATTCTCAGTTTCTTTTTCAGTTTTTCTTGTGAAGGTCTTTTACCTCTTTTGTTGGGTTTATTCCTAGGTATTTAATTTTTTGTGGCTATTATAAATGAGACTACTTTCTTCAATTGCTTCCTGCCTCTATCTGTTTATCGTTGGTATATAAAACACCTTAGATTTTTTGGGAGGCAAACAGGTGGCACAGGGACTGGGGCCACTGAATCCCACTTGACTGAGTGAGTAGTTCAAGTCCTGGACCTGCTATCTTGGGGAATGTTCCAGGCTCGTGTGTATGCATGGCCAATATCCTGAGACTTGAGAAGTGACTGTGGCATGGCTGTCCTCTCCACCTCCCCAGGAATGATTTCTCACTTTCTCTCTCTCTCAGCATCTATCTCTATCTCCCTCTATCTGGGGGCATGCACATACCCTATAGCAAAAACAAAAAAACAAAAAAAGGTAGAGTTATATATTGGTTTTGTATCCTACAGCTTTGCCAAATTCACTTATCATTTCTATGAATATTTTTGTGGATTATGTTGGCTATTTTATGTATATAATGTCATCTGCAAGTAGGGGCAATCTCACTTCATTCTTTCCTACGTGACTGTCTCTTACTTTACTCTCTATCTGATTGCATTAGCTAGGACTCCCCGCACTATGTTGAAGAGGAGTAGAGAAAGTGGGTAGCCTCATCTTGTTCCAGTTGTTAGTGGGAAAGCTTTCAGCTTTTCCTTGTCAGTATGATGTTAGCTCTGGGCTTGTCATATATGGCTTTTACTGTGTTTAGAAACATACTTCCTGGGACCAGCAGTTAGCATAATGGCTATGTTGCTGGACTCCCATGCAGTCGACCGCGGTTCAAGTCCCGGACCCGGTGGCTTAAACTCACACCGGGTGCGTGTGCATGTGTGTCCAAGATCCCGAGAGGAGAATGGAGGAGAAGGGATTGTGGCTTGGCCATCCTCCCGGGGGGTTGATTTCTTGCTTTCTGTCTCTCTCTGCCTTTCTGGTGAGCACCCGCATCCCATAGCAAAAAAAAGCTCTCCCAAAAAAGGAAAAAAAAAAAAGAGAAAGAAACGTACTTCCTATATCTATCTTGTTGAAAGTCTTGATCAGGATGGGATGTTGCATTTTATCAAATGCTTTTTCTACATCATATGATCATATGGCTTTTATCTTTCCTTCTATTAACATGATGTATTGCATTACTGTTTTGCTTTATGTTGAACCACGCTTTCGTACCTGGGATTAGGCCTATTTGGTCATAGTGTATAATCTTTTTAATGTGCTGTTGGACTGTTTTATGAGAGAGAGATTTTGCTATAGAGCACATGCACTAGCTGGAGAGACAGAGACAGAGAGACAAAAAGCAAGAAATCACCCCCTGGGGGGGATGGTCATGCCACAATTCCTTCTCCACATGCGCCTGGTGTGAGTTTCAAGCCATTCGGTCTGGGACTTGACTGCAGTCAGCTACATGGGAGTCAAGCAACCTAACCATTATGCCATCTGTTGGTCCCATGCTTGGTAGATTTCATTTGCTAGTATTTTGTTGAGGGTTTTTATAACTATATTCATAAGAGATACTGATCTGTAATTTTCTTTTTTTGTTGTCTTCTTGTCTGCTTTGGGTATCAAGGTGATGGAAGCTTAATAGAATGAGTTTGAGTAGGTTCCTTCCTTTTGGATTTTTAGAAATATGTATGTATGGGGAACCAGCAGTTAGCGTAATGGCTATGTCGCTGGATTCCCACGTAGTCGACCGCGGTTCGCATCCTGGACCCGGTGGCTTAGAACTCATGCCGGGCGTGTGTGCGTGCATGCCCAAGATCCCGAGAGGAGAATGGAGGAGAAGGGATTGTGGTGTGACCATCCCCCCTGGGGGGTGATTTCTTGCTTTCTGTCTCTATGTCTCTGTCTGTCTGTCTGGATAGCACACGCGCCCTATAGCGAAAACCTCTCAAAAAAAAAAAAAAAAAGAGAAATATGTATGTATGCACACATATAAATATGTACGTGTATTTCTACTTCTTCCAAGGATGTGTATAACTAACATTAAAAAAGTTCTTGGGGCCAGCAGGTGGTGTGGTGGTTGAGGATCTGGACTCCAAGATGGCCGACCACAGTTAGAGAGAGTCCTGGACCTGGTGGATTGCTTTCTCATTTTTCCTCTCTCTCTGCTCAAATTCCAAAATAATAATAACAAATAAGAGAAATAATTCATTTTTAAAAAGTCATCAATCAAAAAAAGATAGTACTTAAAATATTCTGTATCTTATTTTAAATAGGGCTTTACTCAGTCAAACAAATAGGCAATAATATTAAAACAAAGAAACATCATTCTTTGTTTTTAAGGCTTTTTTTAAAGTTCTTTTTTTTTTTAATGAGAGAATCAGAGAAAGACAGAGTTAGACAGAAACAGGTATATTAACATGGTCTTGGTCTTGCCATGCCGTAATACCACCCTCACCCCAACCTTCCAGTCAGCCAGGATCACTGGTATCCTCAGATCTATTAAGGATTTGTACCCACAGCCTCCCTTATGGCTTCCAGTGCCCATGAAGCAGTGTCCTACCCCCTTGATAGCCAGAATTATATTTCTAACAATTAAACAAAATGTGTTTAAGCTGGGAGTTCATAAAATCCTTGTTAGTATTACATATGCTTCTGAGGCATACAGCTCTAAAATGTGCTACTGCAGTACTGGACAGGAAAGAAAGAGCGCGGCCTCTAAAATCAAACTGCCTGGAGTTTGAACCCTGGCTCACCCATTAATTCATTGTGGGAAGTTACATGTTCTTTCTGAACCTAAGTTCCCTGATCTTTCTTTTTGGTGGTGGTGGTAGGGTGTGTATTTTAGACAGACTGTCATTGGGTCCTGATCCTCTTGCCTCAGCCTCCTGAGTAGCTGGGACTACAGGTGCATGTCTGGCTTTTTCAAGGTTGGCTGAGAATCGAATTTGGGTCTCTGACATGGCCTCACTCTGCCAAAGAGCAGTGTTCAGTGCATGCTACCATGCCTAGGCCTTTCCTTATCTTTATTTATTTTACTTATTTTAAAAGGTTTTTGCCATGGGGCACATGTGCTCCTCAGAGAGAGACAGAGAAAGCAAGAAAGTGAGAAACCACTCCCTGGAGGGATGGCTCCCTTCTCCATCCTCCTCTCAGGATCCTGGCATACATGTGCACAAGTCCTACACCCATGATTTTCAAGCCATGGGTCTAGAACTCAAACCATGGTCAGTCATGTGGGAGTCCAGTGCCTTAACCACCAGGGCACCTGAGCCCTCACACTTTCCTTCTTTAAAATAGGGGATAGGATCCCAAGAGAAGAATGAAAGAGAAGAGACTGCAGTGTGGCTCTTCCCCCAGGGAGTGATTTCTCACTTTTCCTCTCAGCTTCTGTCTCTCTCTTGCAAGCCCATGTGCCCTATGGCAAAAACCTTAAACAAACAAAAAAATAATAATAGGGAATAGGAGCTAGCAGGTGGCATGGTGGTTAAGGTGCTGGGCTCCCACATAATCAACTGTGGTTTGAGTCCTAGACCTGGTAGCTTGGTTTTCTCACTTTTCTTGCTGCTGGGTGCACATGCCCTGTAGCAAATTAAAAACAAAACAAAACAACAACAACAAAAAGATGATAAATAAAATTAAATCATTTTCTTTTAAAAATTGGGGGGGGGGGCAGTAGGTGACATGGTGGTTAAGGGTGCTGGATTCCCACATGGCTGACTGACCACAGCTCAAGTCCCAGACCTGGAGACTTGCTTTTTCACTTTCTCTTGTTCTCTCTTCCCCCTCCCTGGTCAAATTAAAATAAATAAATAAACTGAAATAAAATAATTCTTCAAAAAAATTTTAAAAAACGGGAGCTAAAAGAATACCCACCTCATATAATTACTCTATAATTATGAGTAATGAGTGAACTTATCTTTACCAACTACTTAGAATAGTGCCTGACACACAGAAAGCATTCAATGAAATATTATTGTTATTATTTATAGTCCCGGTAATTATAGAAAAATTGTGAAATATTTATAAAAACTTTAGTGATAACATAGAACTTTCAGAGTCTTTGCTGTAGGATATGTGCACTCACCAGAGATGGAAAGAGAGACAGAAAGCAGGGGTGGGAGAAATCACCCCCTAGGATGGCTATGCTGCAGTCCCTTCTCTAGTATCCTCTGGAGATCCTGAGCATGCTTGCACACACTTTTTTTTTTTTTTTTTTGAGAGGTTTTTGCTATAGGGCGTGTGCACTCGCCAGAAAGACAGAGAGACAGAAACGAGAAATCACCCCCCAGGGGGTGATTGCCATGCCGCAATCCCCTCTCTTCCATTCTCCTCTTGGGATCTTGGGCACACATGCACATGCACCTGGCATGAGTTTAAGCCACTGGGTCTGGGACTCGAACCACGGTCAACTACATAGGAGTCCAGCGACATAGCCATTGCACTTTCTGCTGGTCCCCCTCGCCTGGTGTGATTTTGAAGCTGCCAAGTCTGGAATTCGAACAGCACAGTTGACCATGGAGATCCAGGGCCTTAACCTCCATGCCACTTGCTGGAGAAATGGTTTTCTCTCACTAAATCGCTACTCTGTTAGCAGGCAGGTTTAATCGGAGACTTACCTGCATTGCTGCATCACCTATTGCACGTCGGATTTCCCTTAGAGTTTGATACGGCTCCAGCAAGTGATCACCACAGATAATATCTACCTAGGGACAAACAAAACAGTATCAGACTGCCTTCCTGCTTTAAAATACTATCTGGAAAAAATGAAGATGAAATTCAATTTAATGAGTCCAAATAGTGATTTCCAGTGGCTAGGCAGTGGCGCAGTGGTAAACACGACACTCTGCGAGGCACGCCCGCATGAGAAGGTTACTGGTTTGTGTCCAGAGACCTTCCCGAGTACAGGAGGCACATGTATGCCCATGATCCAGGCTGGCTAAGGCTGGAGGTGGGTCACGGCATCAGGACCCTCCTGGGAGTGCTGTGCCTCTGTCTGCCTCTCTGATTCAGGGAAGAGATAAACTTAAGAAAAATGATTATTTCCAGAGTACACTTTGCTATTTTATTTTAGACTGATTAAACACTGTCCAGAAAGGTTTGAGAAAATTTTACAAAAGAAAATAAGGTAAAGTGGAAAGAGAATTAGAGCACCCTACAACTGATACTCACAATGATTTCCTTGAATCTCTGGGAAATTAAATCATGTTTTATGTATTCAGTGTAAGACTTAAATCACTTATTTCTTTTATGAGAAAAAGAGGGAGAGCAAGTGAGACAGAGGACCCAAACAAGGGTCTCACCACATCGTGACCCTCTCCCCATCAGCTTTCCAGACAGCCAGAATCACGGTGCAGCCGATGCGGTCAAGTCCGGAACTCAACTCGGGAACTAAGCTTAGGGCCTTCTCATATGGCTCCATTATGGCTCAATGGCATCCCACTGCCTGTGCCACTATAGCTGGGTCTGGAAATTACATTAAAAAAAAAAAGATTCCAGGGCCAGCAGGTGGTGTGGTGGTTACGGTGCTGGACTCCGACATGGCTGACTGTGGTCTGAGCCCTGGACCTGGCAGCTTCCTTTCTTCCTTTCTCTCTTTCTCTGTCCCTCTCTGGTGAGCACACATGCACTATAGCAAATTAAAAAATAAAATAATAAATAAAATTAAAATAAGTAATTTGAAAAAGTTTCATGATAAAATGAGTAAAAGATATTAATGTTTAAAAATGTAATTTTTTTAAGTTTTTTTTTTTTTTCTTTTGCTATAGGGTACGTGCACTCACTGGAGAAACAGTCAAAAAATGAGAAATCACATCCCTCAGGGGGATGGCCATACCACAGTCCCTTCTCCTCCATTCTCCTCTCAGGATCTTGGGCACGCACACACATGTGCAGGCGTGAGTTTTTTTGTTTTGTTTTGTTTGTTTTGAGAGGTATATCACAGCCACAGGGCCAACTCTAAGCAGGATTTCTAAATACAGGAGTCTCTGGCCTGCTGTGTTAACTCTGCATAATCTCTCTAGCTTCAGAAGCATCAAGACTTAATACGAAGAACAGCAATAATATTTTTGAATCATAGAGCAAAAATCAGACTGTGAGGTAGTCTTATGAAGGTTGGAAAACCTTTAACATTTTATCTTTTAACTTTTTAAAACATTTATTTATTGGGATCAGCAGATGGTGTAATGGTTACATTGTTGGACTCCCATGTAGCTGACTGAAGTTTGAGTCCTGGACCCAGTGACTTAAAACTCATGCTAGGTCCATGTGCGTGCATGCCCAAGATCCCGAGAGGAGAATGGAGGAGAAGGAATTACAGCATGGCCATCCCCAAATATATATATTTAGTGTGAGTTCTGAACTACTGGGTCTTGGACTCAAACCTGTCAACCATGTGGAAATCCAGCAAATCCAGCACTTTAACCATCATACCACCTGCTGGCCTGCCCTTGGCTTTTTTTTTTTTTTTTAGAAATTTTTCCTATAGGGCATGTCCAGAGAAAGAGACACAGATACAGAGATGAAAGCAAGAAATCACCCCCTGGAGGGATGGCCATGCTGCAATTCCTTCTCCATTCTCCTCTTGGGATTTTGGGCATGTATGCACATGTATCCAGCAGGAGTTTCAAGCCACCAGGTCTGGAACTCAAACCACAGTCGGCCACAGGAGTCCAGCACCTCAACAACTACACTACCTGCTAGTGGCATAGTTAAGCAAAATCGCACTACAGATTTCAAGACAGTATTTTACTTTCTTCCTTCCTTTCCTTTCCTCCCTCCCCGCCCCTTTCTTTCTTCCCTGAGAGACAACAGGGTACCACCAACAGGGTCTTCATACTACACTCCAGGCCCAGTCCCACCCATCCCAGATCAAGGTGTACATGCACCCAGCATGTGTGAGAAGGCCTCGGAGCCTGAATACTGATGGCCCCCACCCCCATGGAGTCAACTGTTTCACCACACCACCGCTTGGCCTCCAGACAGAATTATTAATGTGCTTTTATGAATAAGCCACACTGGCCCATCCCTCTTTGTTCACACATACTCTCTTTACTAATAAGTATATTGTCTATCTGCAAGTTCCTGTCCGTCTTTCAGATCCATTCTTGAGTTAAAGCCTTTATGCTTGGCTATCTCTATTGTTGCACTCATCACATCCTACAGCTCGTTGTTTATTTATGTATCTTTCTCACAAAACTCTTCTGCCTTTAGTGGCATGAATTGTCTTATATCGGTATTCCCGAAGCCAAGTACATAGAGCTCAATTTAGTATAGACAGATAGTAAATAAATGGTAGAGATACAACATATATTGGTCTTTTTCTAAAGAATGATTTGGAAACTAACTTTAACCAACAGCCAAAGGTCATATACCACATAAGTAATGATACTGAGTTGTTGGAGAAGTCATGACATATTCTGCATGGGAAAAATGTCATGACTTTTCCAACAACCTAATAATAATAATAATAATAATAATAATAATAAAAGAATGTACCTTTTAAGATGGAACTAGTTATGGTAGAATAAGAAACCCTGATATCACATCTTTTACGTGAAAAATTTTAGTGATCAATGTGATATAGACTTTCAAAATTTCATTTCATAAAAACAAAATAAGTAGCTCAGCAGGTGGCATGGTGTTTAGGTACTGGACTCCCACATAGCCATCTGTAGTTTGAGTCACGGACGTGGCACCTTGCTTTGTCACTTTGTCTCTCTCTGGTGAGAGCACGTGCCCTATAGCAAATTTAAAATAATAATAATAATGATAAACAAAATTAAATAATTCTTTTTTTTTAAATGAGGTTTAGGTATCAAATAATATACAAAGGAATATGGACAAGAGTAGTTACAAAACAAAATACAGTAAGTAGGCATCCATGAATTAAGAATATCACAAAACTGGGGACCAGCAGATGGCGTAGTGGTCCAGCAGTTCCATCACTAGACTCCCACATGACCGACTATGGTTCAAGTCCTGGACCTGGTAGCTTCAGAATCACTCTGGGCATATGTGTGTGCATGCTCATGATCCTGGGAGGAGACTGGAGGGGAAGGGGTTGCAGCGTGACCATCCTCCCTGGAAGGGTCATTCCTCACTTTCATTCTTACTGTCTTTCTCTCTCTCTCTCTCTCTCTCACACACACACACACACACACACACAAGCACACATGCTATGAAGGCAAAAACCTCTATTATTTAAAAAAAAAATAAATAAAATAAAAAAAGAACACTAAACTGGGACCAGCAGATGGTATAATGGTTACCTCACTAGACTCTCACATGGGTGACTGCAGTTGGAGTCCTGGACCACATGCTTGAAACTCACGCTGGGCATGTGTGTATGCATACCCAAAATCCCAAGAGGAGAACGGAAGAAAAGGGATTGTGGCATGGTCACCCCTCCGCCTTGGAAGGAGTGGTTTTTCACTTTCTGTCTCTCTGTTTCTCCAACAAATGCACGTGCTCTCTAGCAAAAATCTAAAAAAAAAAATTACCATCAAATCGACTATGGTAATTCAGCAACACTAAGGTCTGTATGTGAAATAGATCTATTTGAGTAATTACTGATCTTTTTTTTTTTTTTTTTTGCTATAGGGCACATGCGCTCGCCAGAGAGACAGAAAGTGAGAAAGCTCCTCCTAGAGGGGATGACCATGCCACAATCCCTTTTCCTCCATTCTCCTCTCGGGATCTTGGGCACGCATGTACATGCACCCAGCATGAGTTTAAAGATGCCAGGTCTAAGACTTGAACCACAGTAGGTGACAGGAGAATCCAGTGATATAACCATTATACCATCTACTGGTCCCAATCTCTGGTTTTTTAATCAACTTAAATCTCTCTCTCTGCTCATATCAGATGACACTAAATATACTTTCTTGGATTTAGAAGGCTTAAACAGTTGTTATTGTTTGTTTTTAAAGAACTATTTATTTATTTAATTCCATGTTATTATTATTATTATATTTTAATTTGACCATATAGAGACAGAGAGAAAGAGAAAGCAATAAAGCAAGCTTCCGGGTCCAGGACTTGAATGGTAGTCGGCCATGTGGGAATCCAGTGCCTTTAACCACTACGCCACCTGCTGGCCCCACCTTAAGCAGTTTTAGTCACAAATTAATTAGTCTGCATATTTAATAATTTTGTGCTGCATTATTTTAATATTTTGGTGAAATAGTAATTTATGAATGAGATAAGATAATGTATCTGAATAAGGAAAGAATATTTACTTAAAGAGCCAAGAACTGACAGAGAAACAAATTTTATATCATTTTATTTTAAAATGCTAAAAGCCTTTAATTCTATGATATGAGGAAAAGAGAAACCCACATCAATTTAGAAGATATTTTTTTAAAGAATTATTTTATTTAACTTTAGTTATTTCTTTATTTTAATTTGACCAGAGAGGGATAGAGAGAAAGTGAGAAAGCAAGCTGCCAGATCCAGGTCTTGAACTGTGATGGGCCATGTGAGAGTCCTGTGCCCTTAACCACTACACCACTTGCTGGCGCCAGAAGAGATTATTGTACAACATAGTGGCTACAATTAGTATCAATGTACAATATTCTTGAAAATTGCTAGTAGCAGAAATTTTAAGTGTTCTTATCGTTAACAATATGTGAGTTAATGCTGTTAATTAGCTTGATTTAGCCCTTCTACAATATATACATGAAAACATCATGTAATACATAATATATAATTTTTGTCAATTAACTAAATAAATCAGGGAAACCTCTCCTCAAAAAGAAAAAAAGACTCAGAGCTTTTCTCCCTCTCTTAAAACTCTTTCTTTTCCCCTTAAGATAGGGTCTCATCCAGCAGTTAGTGTAATGGCTATGTCCCTGGACTCCCATATAGCCAACTATGGTTCAAGTCCCAAACCTGGCGGCTTAAACTCACGCCAGGCATGTGTGCATGCGTGCCCAAGATCCTGAGAGGAGAATGTAGGAGAAGGGACTGCGGTGTGGCCATCCTCCCTGTGGGATGATTTCTCGCTTTCTGTCTCTCTATCTCTCTGGCGAGTACACGCGCCCTATAGCAAAAACCTCTCCAAAAAAAAAAAAAAGAGAGAGAGAGAGATAGGGTCTCATCACATCACCACCCCCTTGTCTCGGCTTCCCAGCTGAGACCAGAGACTCTAACCACTGTGCCTGACCTTTAGGTTGACTGGAAATTGAATCTGGGCCGCCAGTGTGGCTTGGCCTGTGGAGCACAGCATCTTAGCAGCATGAGCCACTGTGGGAGGGAGAGCCCTGAGGGAGAGCTTTGAAAATCAAATCTCTTAAATCTTCAGATGTAATAAATGGTAGCTGTACTTTATCAAAATCTAGCCACAGATACTAGAACTTATATCCAGAGCACTTAGACAAAATAAAGAAATAAAAGGCATCAAAATTAGATGGAAGAAGAAAAAAAAAATCTAGCCACAGAGGAAACAATCTCTATCCTATAGGGCCCTCCTGGCTATCACTTCTTACTCTATATAATTAGAAAAGTCTCTGACTTTTGCTTTTAGAAATAATAGACCAGGGGCCAGTAGGTGACATGGTGGTTAAGGCCCCAGACTCCCACATGGCCAACTGTAGTTCGAGTCCCAAATCTAGTGGCTTACTTTCTATTTCCCTACCCATCTTTTAAAAGAAAGAATAAAATTAAATAAATAATTCTTAAAATAAATAAATAAATAAATAATAGACTGTTAGGGATCCCTAGAAGTCTTAAACATCTATCTGTCTCTACCCAAAAGCCTAAGAATAACCTCAGGACCAGCAGTTAGCATAATGGCTATGTTGCTGGACTGCCATGTAGTCAACCGTGGTTCGCGTCCCGGACCTGGTGGCTTAAAACTCACGCTGGGCGCGCGTGCGTGCGTGCCCAAGATCCCGAGAGGAGAATGGAGGAGAAGGGATTGCGGCGTGGCCATTCCTCTGGGGGGTGCTTTCTCCCTTTCTGTCTCTCTGTTTCTCTCTGTCTGGAGAGTGCACGTGCCCTATAGCAAAAACCTTTAAAAAAAAAAAAGGCAAATAAATAAATAAATAAAACCTCAACCTCTCTGTGGCCATAAGATAATAGAAAAGTCATTTCTACGTATCAATTACCAGGAGATACAGTCAGCAGATGTCAAGCTCAATTAGAGACGTCACTTTTCATTGGATTTAACATACATTTATATATAGTGTTGGCACTACAACCCTACCAAAATTTCAATCACTTCTTTAAAAAACAATTATTTATTTATTTAATGACATTTGTTGATATTTTTTTCACTTGACCAGAGAGAGAGAAAGGGAAAGGGAGAAAGTAATCCGTCAGGTCTGGGACTTGACCCATAGTTGGCCATGTGGGGATCTAGTGCCTTTAACCACCATGCCACCTGCTGACCCTCAGTCATTATTTATTTTTTTAAAGACATTTTTGCCTTAGGGCATGTGCACTCACCAGAGAAAGAGTAAGAGAAAGAGACAAAGTGAGAGGGAAAGTGAGAAATCATCCCATCCCGGGGCGGGGGGGAGACCAGCCCCTATGGAGAATGACCACGCTGGAATCCCTTCTCCATTTTCCTCCCAGGATCTTGGGCACATTTGCACATGTGCCTGGAGAGATTTTGAAGCCACCAGGTCTGGGACTCAAACCCCAGTCAACTATGTAGGAGTCCAGTGACGTAACTACTATGCCATCTGCTGGCCCCTCAATCATTAATATATCTATTAATATAACCAATACTAAATAGAAAGTTTTAGATAAAAATTATTTAGATAAAAAATTATTTAGTGAGAGTTTACACATGATGTAGAATAACAAAAACCTTTACAACTAATGAAAAAGCAAAGCTGTATAAAAGTGCATTTTCACTGAACCCACAAAACTATCTTTGTATTTTTTTTTCTTTTCCATTCTTTTAGATTGTTGCCACAGGGTGTATGTGCTTGCCGGAGAGACAGAGAAAGAGGGAAAGTGAAATATCACCCCCTCAAAGCAGAGAAGGCCACACCTCAACCCCTTCTCCTCCATTCTCTCCTCAGGATTTTGAGCATAGATGTGTACACACCTGGTATGTTTTTCTACCCATAACGTATGGGACTCGAGCCCTGGAGTCAGCCATGTAGGATCCAGCATACTAAACATCACACCACCCACTGGCCTGAGTGTATTTGTATTTTTATGTTCAATAGTACCTGAGATTTAACAGTTCTATCCTATAATAAGAAAATACTATGTAGCTAAAATAGGAGATATTTTTCAATGCCTGAAAAAACGAATAGGGTCTATATCAGACACATATTTCATTTTTCTAGGTGTCTTGAGCTTGTCTGTTATACTGTAACAACTGATAAATGCAAGGCTGTCCTCTGAAGAAAAGTGATGATAAGAGATGGAATAAAGGCCCCAGAAGTGCTTTAATCCTTCATCTCCTCAGCCTTTCTCTGACACCAATAAATGGTCATCAAGGGCAGTAAGAAATGGGCAGGAGGTCAGTGTGATTCACGTTAGTGGTGGGAATCACTGTGTATCACTATTCAATGAACACTTACGATGTCTACATCATGAAAGAGAAGTCACTGCACAAAATCCTAGGGACAGTTCTTTCCACACTCTGAAAGTAACCTCACAACTTCACTTTTCCTTTGACATCCATGTATGGTACCTGACAAGCTGGATCAAGACCCATTTTTCTTCTGAGGAATTTTTCTACGTGTCCAATAGTTGCTTCTCCTGAAACACGAACGAACTTCTTTTCCAACGGCTACGAAAATAAATAAAACTATTTTCAGACTAAATATATACACATATAAACACATACATGAATGTTTATGTATATATGCTATGTAAACCAGAAAGCAAATTTTATAGCAAAGATAATCAACAGACCCTCGAAAGAAAAATTACTACAAAACGAGTTAATTTACATATCAAAAAAGAAAAATAGAAATTCTTCTTTGCATCTCCCTCTTTGAAAGTATGTCAACCAATTCTTTTAAATAGAAAGGTTCTGTGGTTTATTTTTAATATCTCAACAAATACAAAAGAAAACTTAGAATGAAATTTATTCATTCAAGTACTTAATTTACACTTCAGAAAGAGAGAGAGAACACCCAAGATCAAATGTCTAAAACAACCTAGCTTTTTCAAGAAAACTGTAAGGGTAAATAAACAAGAGGGGGGCCAGCAGGTGGTGTAGCAGTTAAGGCTCTGGATCCCCACATGACCAACTGCAGTGTGAGTCCTGGAACTGGATCTCTCACTTCCCCTCCCTCCCACTCTCCTCTCTCTCTCTCTGGTGAGCACGTGTGCCTTATAGCAAACTTAAAAAAAATTAGGGACCAGCAGATGGTGTAATGGTTACGTGGCTGGACACCCTATGTAGTCGACTGCAGTTCAAGTTCTGGACCTGGTGGCTTAAAACTCACAATGGGTGAATGTGCATGTGTGCCCAAAATCCCGAGAGGATGATGGAGTAGAAGAGATTGTGATGTGGCCATCCCTTTCTATCTCCCTGTCTCTCCAGTGAGTGCATGTACCCTATAGCAAAAATCTCTCTCTCAAAAATAAATAAATAAAAGTAAATAAATAATTCTTAAAAAGAAAAAAGACAAGATAGAGGAGGAATAGCTAGATAAAAATCACATAACAGGGTCAGTCCATGGCAAGGTTAAGGAGGCTGGATCCCACATGGTGTACCGCATAGTTTGAGTCCCAGAACTGGCAGCCTGAAAAACATGTTGAGTATGTGTACATGCATGCTCAAATTCCCAAAAAGAGAGAGAAAAGAAGGGACTGTGGTGTGACCATTCTTCACAGGGAGAGGGGACTTCTCACTATTCCTGTATCCTCTCTGTCTCTCCAGCAAGTACATGCACCCTCTGGCAAATTTTAAAAATAATAAAAAAGAGTAAGGGATATAAATGAGAGCTATATCAACCAAGTACCAGTATGAACTTCATTTGGACCTCAATTTAAACAAAACCCATAAAACAATTTCATGAGACAATCTAGGAAATTTAAATAGTACACTGAATATTATATCAAAGAATCATTGAAATATAACAACATTACTGTTATATTTGTAAAAAGAATCCTTATCTTTCAGAAACAAATTGAATTATTTACTGATGAATGATATATAGTCTTAAATTTGCTTCAAAATTATCGGGTTGTCAGAAAAGTCAGGACATACTTTTTCTACATAAAAATGCATCATGACTTTTTTTGACAATCTAATATACTGGAGGAGAAAAATAATGACAGTACAGATGAACAAGACTGGTCTTAAGTTCAAAAGTACTTAATTGGGGGGCTGGCAGGTGGAGTGGTGGTTAAGAGCACTGGACTTATACATGGCTGACCACAATTACATCCCCAAAACTGGTGGCTTCCTTTCTCACTTTCTCTCGCTCTCACTTGCTCTATCTCTCTCTGGTCAAACTGAAACAAACAAAGTTGAATAAAATAATTATTTAAAAAATTATTTAATTGGGAATGACACATACATGGGGGTTCATTATACTATTCTGTCTACTTTTGTATGAGTTCAAAATTTTACATAATAGGGCCAGCAGGTGGCATGGTGGTTAAAGTGCTGGACTCCCACATGGCCGATTCAAGTCCCAGACCTGCACCCTCTGCTTTCTCACTTTGTCTATCTCTTTTTCTCTGGGGAGCACATGTGCCCTATAGCAAATTTTAAAATAGTACTTGATAAAATTAAGTAAACAATAATTTTTAAAAATTTTCTTTCCATAATAAAGAGTTGTTTTGTTTTGTATCATTTTTTTTTTTAAAGAGAGATTTTTGCTATAGGGCATATCCAGTCACCAGAGAGACAGAAACAGAAAGCGAGAAATAACCCCCCAAAAGGGATGGCCACACTGCAATTACTTCTCCATTCTACTCTGAGATTTTGGGCACGTACACATATGCACATGGTGTGTTTTAGGCCACTGGTTCCAGGACTTGAGCCACGGTCGACTACGTGGGAATTTAGCAATGCAATCATTACACCATCCACTGGTCCCTAGTTATTTCTTTTTTTTTGGAGAGGTTTTTGCTATAGGGCATGAGCGCTTTTCAGAGAGACAGGGAGAGACAGAGAGACAGAAAATGAGAAATCACCCACTTGGGGGGGATGGCCATGCTGCAATCCCTTCTCCTCCATTCTCCTTTCAGGATCTTTGGCACACATGCCCGGTGTGAGTTTAAGCCACCAGGTCCAGGACTTGAACCACGGTCAACTACATGGAAGTCCAGCGACATAGCCATTATGCTAACTGCTGGTCTCCCTAGTTATTTCTTTTTAAGTGGAGAATTAAAAGATTAACATCTAGAGATACGTAGAAAGTGATCCACTAATTTGAGATGTAGGAGGTGACAGGTAGAGACCACAGGGTTAAAAAGAAACGAATGTTTATCCAGCTCCTCTTTCTCTAAGACCATTATGGATACTATTTAAGACAACTGAAAAACTAAGATAATCCCAACTAAAATGGTATCTTTGAGGAAACTTAAATGTTTTTCTAGGGGCACAAAGAGCTTAAAAAGGCTACCAAGACAACCTGGACAGGTAAGGTATACATTTGTTCCACACAACAGCACTCAGTTTTCTTAGTTATAACTCAGCTTCTTCTTCTTTTTATTTTTATTTATTTATTTATTTATTGCTATAGGGAACATGCACTCACCAAAGAGAAATAGAGACATAGAGAGAAAAAGTCAGAAATCATTCCCATTTGAAGGGATGGCCATGTTGCATTCCTTTCTCCTCCATTCTCCCCAGACTTTGGGCACGCATGAACATGTGCCCAGCATGTTTTTCAAGCCACCAGGTCTGGGATTCAAACTGCGGTCAGCCATGGGGGATCCAGCTGCCTTAACCACCACAACACCTGACTGGTTCATTGGCTCTTTTTTTTTTTAATAATAATAAAAAAAAATGCTTATTGGAGCTGGCAGGTGGTGTGGTGGTTAAAGGTGCTGAATTCCCACGTGGCTGATTGCAGTTTGAGTCCTAGACCTGGCGACTTGCTTTAAACTTTTCCTTCCCTCTCTCTCTGGTGGAATTAAAAAATAATAACAACAAATAGAACTAAATAAATAAATATTTAAAAATATGTATGCTTATTTCTTCCAGAGACAGAGACAAAGAGGCCCCCTAACAAGGTCTCCACACTGTGACCTACCCCTAGCCTCAGCTGGCCCTTACACAGGCACCTACAACGGACATGCTCGGGGAGTCCCAGGATGGGATCAAGGACTTGACCATATGGGTCCAGTGTCATTACGGCTGCAACACCACCTGGCTCTCGTAGTTTGTTTCTTAACATCTTTCCTGACTAAAACTACAAGCCTATATTAGGTAAGTATTACTATATAGGTACTTCGGTATGCTGGTTACACACAAGCAACTGATAAATGACTCCTTACTGCCACAGTACGGCAGGGAGCACAGGCATAAGGGCAGGTACTCCACAGACGGCCTTCATGGATTCAAACTTCGCTTCTGCCATTTTCTAGTTGCAAGTCCTTGGGTAAGTTCCTGACTGAATCTTTCTATGTCTCGGTCTCCATTTGTTTTTGTTAATTATTTTATTTATTTAATTTTTTATTTGTTATTATTATTGTTATTATCAACTTGAACAGAGAGAGACAGAAGGAGAGAGAAAATGAAAATAAAAAAATAAGCTGCCAGGTCTGGGTCCCGAACCAACATCGGCTACATGGGAGTCTAGTACCTTAACCACTATGCCACCTGCTGGACCCTCCATTTGTTAATTAGAACTAAAAATAGTACCTACCTCAGAATTGTCATGAGAGTAAATAAGCTAATGTACATAAATAAGTAATAACAATGCTGGCACATGTAAGCTCTGAAGAGTATTGCAGTTACATGGCTGTATTATGAGCCAGTTTGTCTCTTTAAAATGATTTGTATCTGGGGCTAGTAAGTGACGTGGTGGTTAAGGCTCTGGATTTCCACATAGCCAACTATGGTTCAACTCCCAGACCTGGCAGCTTGCTTTTTCGCTTTCCCTCTCTCTCTCTCTTTCTCTCTCTCTCTGTCTCTCTCTGGTCAAATTAAAAATAAGAATAACAAATAGAATTAATGCAATAAATAAATATTTTTTTTAAAAAGAGAGAAAAGAAATAAGTGGACACATCTAACATGTGACTCCCAACTACAAGGGACACATGCATTCATCCCTCCTGAGAACAAGCCAGGACAAAGCCCCTCCTAATTCTGCCTCAGTTCCTCTTCAACAACCCACTCCAGTCCTGCTCCCTATTTGAGAGCTCTGTTCTTCCTTCCCTCTCTTAATAAACTCAGTTTTGCTATCCCCTCTCTGTGTCCATGTCTCTAATTTTTTGTAAGCATGAAATAAAGTTGGGTCTGCTGCTGTTCCTGCATTAGGTTTTGGGCCCATGGACCCCAACTTCCCCCATCCATGGGACTTGGGTTTTAACTGCAGCCAGACATGTGGGATACAACCCCCCTCTCCCCATACATAGGCTTAACTACTGTGCTGTGGGGCCAGAGCAGCAACGTTTTCCAACCCTTAGAAAATCAACAGACTTGGAGATTGAGCATCAGTGGTTGCTAACATACACAGAGAAACAAATAGCCGCCTAACTGATGAAAACAGCATTACCGAAAACATATTCTGGTTTCCCACAATCTAACCTGTCTGATCAACAGGCAGATTTAACTATAAAAATTATACCAAAGAGAAGCAACATCAGAACTTAACCAGT